CACCACCATTCCCTTCTTTTGTGTCTTGTCTTTTTAGATTGTAAGCCTAAGGGCAGGGAACCGTCTAATTAATCCATTTGTAAGCTGCTCTGATAGTCTTTTGGCTGAAGAGCGGGGTATACATAATAATAATAATAATAATAATAATAATAATAATTATAGCTCACTATTGTTCTTGATCTACAATAAAGTCTTTTTTTCATTCACCAGGACTACTGTCTGACTCCTTGGAACAGAGCTGATTGGTACTGACACTTATGGCATCTAAACGCTGTGCTTCTGGAGTGCTGTAAAGTGGCTGCCAAGTAAACAGCCAGGCCGCGTGATGCCAACTTCCTGCCAGCTTAGGGCCATGCGTCATGTGTATGCCATGCCTCCAAGCCTCTGGGAAGCTGGCTTTTTTGCCAGTCTGTTCTGGTCCCTAGTCTACAAAAGCTTTTGCTACAATTTCTTTTGCACATGTAATTGCAAAAGTGCTACAAGATTCATTTGTATACTAATTAGCATTGATTCAATAAGTTTGCTTTGGTTGGGAGTAATAAAGGATTTTGGCCATTGTTTAAAGATGCATTTCCTAATAAATTCAATGTCTGTTGAAAAAAAATGCTACAGTGTAAAGTTTGAATATTTTGAAATCGGGAACATTCAGACATTTATGGCAATAGTCTCCCAAGACAGCTCTTTGTTAGCATGCCTAATCCCTTGAGTTATTTTGCATCAATTTTAAATACACTAATACTTATTTGGCCAGATAATTATCAGCATTAGATCATAAGATCATGCACAGAAGATAAGTTTGCTTCCCTTTCATTACTAGATTTTCAAACTCCTCAATTCCTCTCTGCTAAATAGGCATTGGAACCACTTCACCTCTAAATATGATGAAGATTGGATGTATTGTTACCATACTGTACATAAGATTTAAATGTGAATATATAGCTTTATTACAATTGCAAATTTTAATTCATTTTTCTTTATTTGTGAAGCCCAGGACCCAGAAGCAGTAAAAGCTACTCTAAGGTAGTATCATGATTTGACCTGTTCACTTTATATGCCATTTTTGTAGTATGCTTTTCTTTCTTGCCAAACTTCAGGACTTCATACTAGAACTTTAGATTTATAATACTAGAACTTTAGATTTTTTGTCTAAAGTTTGAGACAAAAAAACGCTTGCCTCTGTTGTCTTCATATGTCTTCTTTGGATGTTGAAAATAAGATCACAACATCTGCATAGAGTGATACATTTACAAAGTTGTCCAAAATCTTAGGCATATGAAAACTCTATGCAAAAGTGAAACATCATTTGTTTTTTAAAAAATTAAGAGTAAAGAAGCTAGAATGTGTTGCCTTGACAGATTTTTTCATGTGTAGGAATCTCATCTCTAAGAATACAATTTGAATATGTCTGGACTTTCAGAATTGTTTAAAAATGCTCTAATTAAAAATAAATAAATCTTGGGTCAAGGCTCATTTTTGATAATTTATCCTGAAGACTGTTTATGGAATTAGTGAACTGATGAATGCAAGAAGAATAGTTCACCTTTTGTTGTTTATTGAATTACCAGATGGAACAGCAAGAAGCAAGTATCATTAGTGAATCATATTCTTGTGAAATTTGCCTATCTTTTGCCAATATATAATCTTTTTCTGGCCAATTCTTTTCTGGCCAGTTCTCTAATCTTTGTATAAATTTTGGCTGGTATATATTTAGAAATATATATATATATA